CTCCATCGGCTCCGATGGTCCTTTCTTTTTTGGTCCAAGAATACCTTGTTTAGGCCATGATACCCCATTCGGACGCTTTGCGTATGGCGCGGCGTCAAAAGTCCACGAGGTAGTCTCTTCAATATGACAAATGTGTGCGCGACCGTGTTGCTCCACCCATGGGTCCTCACCGAATGTGGTATCATCTTTCGCACAGGCGCTAACATGAGAATGGGTGTCGCGCTACTTGCGACCTGGTCGGTCTACAACCCATCGCTGGCTTGGCCTTTCTAGGCTTTTCTGAGTGAGTCTGAACGAGCTGCAGGCTTTCAGTCAAACCGGGCTCGTGTAGAAGCACTGAACAAGTGAGCAAGGAGCTTGACCTGACGTAAGCTGTTGAACCCATGCAACAACGCACCACATGTTGACATCCGTCCGGGATCAGCATCTCTACGTGCGAGTCGCCGGGAGAGGAATACTTTTGGCCCCATATTGTCCTTTTGCACATCGCCCTTCGAGCCAAGGGGGGCCCTGACAATAAGGAGGCTTAGTAACTAGCGGAACTCCGCGCACAGCAGCTGGAAGCGGAGACAGGTCTTCGACTCGAGCGAGATGACTTGGACAGGGATCGGTTGAGAGTCACGTCACTCCATGGCACAAAGCCATGAAGTGGGTGGTTGTAAGAGTAAGAAATTGCACCATCGTCACAAAGGAGTTGTACTGCCTGGCTCGTATAGAGGGTATAGAAAGGGAAGGGCTATTTACTTGGGCATCTGTTGCGCACCAATGCCAACATCTGGATCCAATAGTTCACTTTCCACGTGGGCATCCAACTACAGCCGTGAGGACGGGTGTGCAAGCGCTTCTTCCTCCGACCCAAAGTACGCAGGACCGGCGTTATCTAGGCGCCCATCTCCTTTCCAGAATCTGGGCGGATCCTGCGAGCCCCATACCGGAGAGTTCCTGGGAGTCGTCCTGATTCGCGGAGACATGATTAATCAAGATTGAGCTGAAACGTGAAGCTCTGAAGCTCAGAGTTTCTCCAGCCAACTGCGGGAAGCAGAAAAGATCAGAATGATTCCATGTTCGTTTTGAAGCACGAATCAAGACTGAGGGACGACAAAAACCGAGAGCTCCTCGCTGCTCTCACAGGCGGAAGTGACTAACTCTCTTCAGGCCGGCACATTCTTGGCGAACTAGTCGACTTTGAAACATCACGTGATGTGGCTCTGGCTGGCCCCCACCAGCAGCGTCTTCTCTGGAAATCCGAAGGCATGTTTCCCAGCGCCAAAGTAACCACAGCTGGCTGTACTTTTGTGACGATTTCTGTCCGCTCCGGTCATCCCTGACACAGGCAGATACTGCATTTGTCCCTTCATATCACGATGGCGACAGAGCTGCCGCGCGCCGTGGACATCGAGGACCGCGAGATCATAGAGAAGTTAGCGAAGCTCCAAAACATGTACTCGCAAGTCAGTCTCCCTTGCTTCGATTTTTATTTCTCCTTTTTCTGCCCAATAAGACCCACGTTCATGCTGACATCTGGGAAGATTGGCGGCCTCCGGTCCCTGTTGCCCGACAAGTTGATCAACCCAGCACGGGTGGCACTGGAGAACCCCGGGGGTTATGAGCCCGAGAAGCTTGCCACCTACCTGCAGACCGCGGCCAAGGCAGGGAGTCAAGACGTCGAGCGATTCAAGAAGGATTGGCATGGCGATGATGTACGCCAGTTGTGGCACGTTGTCAATGCAAATGACCTCCCACAGGGTGGAGATGCATGGCCCTTGGACTACGGTGCTCTTCTCCAGGACACTGCCACAAACGAGCAGACATCCACCACTGCGACCGACCCTAGTCGCGAGTTTCAGCCCCCAAATGAGCCCGAGATTATGCAGGTGGTGGACGACTTCCGCGCAAGGCATCCAGAGTTGAGGATACACGTGTCAGACGGAGCAACCCCTTTGCCGATTGACATCCAAGTCGGAAAACTTGACTTTCGCCTCGAACAAAGACATTCCGTTGGTGGCACCAAGTACATTGTTCTCGGGAAGCCTGGCGCAGAGGCATCCAGTCTACGTCATAACGTTCTTCAGAGCATCTCGGAATCGCAGCAGGGAGCAGGACTCGCAACTCTTCTGGTATGTGTTCCATGATTTTACGCAGGTTGACGCCTTTAGCTGATAATGAGGCGTAGGAGATGATCTCCTCGTACCGAGATATCAATACCAAACCGTGTCAGAAATGCCATAAGCTATTCGACAGCAAGACGATGCAGTTACCCTTGATTCGACAGTCGATAACACCACAGGAAGGCCAATTCCCTCAATTCTTAGTGCTCCATCGAGACTGCAAGTGAGCACCTATGTTGTGGGTATAGAAGTGGATCTTTAGACGCCTCACTTGCTTGGATAAGCAACTCAGGCACCTGTGCACCATGGACCAAGACGCTACCAAGCAAGCTCACGCATCAATCAGTCTTGCGTCCGGGCAGTGGCTCGACGACAACAGCGACAGGTTCGCTCCAACTCGAAACAGCCCCTTGTCTCAAACCGGGCTAATTCGACGTTCACTGCCGCTCCGAATCGCGTAAAGCTTACGAAATGTCGGGAACCACTTCTGCGGCCCAGGCCTTCCTGCTGACTGATTCGAAACTCTATGCTCTCTCTTGAATCTAGCAAGAAGCCCGTGTTACCGTTGCTCCTGTGCCTAAAGTCACAGATGCTTGCAAGAGGAATCTTGAACAACAGACATCGAGGACTTAATGGGGTTTTAAACACTTACAGCTTGGACTCTGCGCAACCACATATCCACACACTGGGTGCATGTTTGCAGTGAGATTCCAGAGAAGGAGCTGACTGACTCGCACAGAGCGCGAGGATGTTCTCAACCCTCTATCCTTGCTCCTGGCGCTGCTGCTGTGTGAAGGACCTCCGCCTCATGGTTGTCGAGCTCAACGCAATTCACCAGGCCGGTCGCGGCGTCGATTATATGAAGTGGAGGGGTCCTGTTGAAGGCGAACAACGTCTCTCTTGGGGCACATTTCTTCAGGTACCATCAGTCATTGTCTCCGACAACATTGCTGCATGCTTTCTAAAGAATGATCCCTGTGCATACAAGATCCGACGGCTGATCCCGGTCCCCCTGTATTCAAGTCCATCCACCTCACCGCTCAGCTCGTGACAAGGACGAAGGTAGAGTCGGTGAGATACAACGTTTCAATGTCATTCCGACTGCCTCGTCCTATGGCTCGGACAACCAACCGAAGTTGTGACTTAACACTATCGCCCTAAAGTCATGCTCACAGCGAGGCTCAGACTCGTACCTCACGTCCTAGATTTGAAACCCCGTGAATACATGCCCTTTCGACAGAGTTGGTTTCTCTTAGAGTTATCTTCCCAATTCTGGAAGGCCGGTACGTCGCTTGTGGCCAATATCTCGTGGGTCAAGAGGAGGCCGCACGGGGCGAGGATAGAACTGACCATGGGTCGACCTATGCTTGTCACCTAGTATATAGTAGAGTATAGCTGATAGCCCTTCTGGCTCTTGAGGATATCGATCGCATTTTTCGCTGGTCATGTGAAGCTGGGCCTAGGGCGATAAATGCGAGTCCTGCCACACCCAGCGATTCACCAATATCGAGGCGCCGAAGCCAGCATTCACTTACATGAAGTCGTTATATATGTGAGTTCTTGTCCCTGAGGCAGTTGACTGTGCCGGCACCCCACCTGATACCTAGCTCAAGAAGAACTCTACCGTCTTTCTTCAGGTTCAACAACAATCGACTACAACAATGTCAAAGAAACCTCAACGCCGCAGAATCGCCTGTCCCTAGCACGCTCATGCGCAGCACCAGACTGGGATCTAATGGACGGGAGAGTGAAGGCCGCGTGCAATGAGAACCGCAAATCCGAGCCGGCACTTGCCAGAAGTCGACATGGCGAAGACTGTGCATACGCCTGGCGCGACATAACGGTTAACAACAGTCAAAATCGGATATCGACCGCAGTTCCTTCCAATCAGAACCACAAGCCACAAGGAATACAGGCACAAAGAAAGCGAACATCAAACGGAAGCATCAAAGGTGGGCAGGATCGCCGCGTCTACGACATCATGCCGGCACTCCTGCAAGCTTACAAGGACGGACAAACCCGTGCCACGATACCAGGCTACAAGCGGATATGGATCTTCTTCGCAGACGGATCACCGCGATAAGAGTCCAAGACCGAGATGGTAACCTTCCAGTCTCACAATATGAGTATGCGACAGCCAGTAAGCAGTGCTTGGAGGGAGAGAGCAAACGAGCCTCGATCACAGGACACAATTTGCGAGAGTGGAATGAAGATGTCCTCAGGTGAGGATAGGGGAGCGTTGTATGGTAGTCATCGTCATCGCCGTTGTGAGAAACGTGCCTCCTAAGCTCAGAGAATGATATGCAGTCGGATAACAGCGTCCATGAAATGGTTGTCCTTAGCCAGCTCTATCTGCACTTTGAGCCCACTTGTTGTGTACTTGGGTGTGTCTTTCGAGGTTTAACGGCACTGGCCACAGCATAACATATCCTGTTCGAACTGAACCGTTCGCTGGATATCACATGAAGTTCGGAACTGAGAGAGGCTTCACACCCAATTGGTGGCTGTCTTGGCAAGTTCAGCCAGTGGAGGAACCAATTTAAGAAACGCGCCAAACCAGAGACGGTTAGCTCCCGGGAAGGTGGCTGAGGCGCGTTGTTCGTTGACTGTTGTGGACTCCGAGTCGCGGCTTCCGTCGTCAGGGTGAGACACAGACACACCTTTTTTCCGCCTGCGCTCCTTTCGTCGACTTCACCTCACTTTCACCTCACCACTCGCTCACCGTCTGTACCTGTTCTCATCATATCTGTTGTGAATCTCAATTCGATCGTTACTCTTGTTTGTGCCATAATTCTTTACAACGTTCGTAACACGACCCTCAGCGACACATTCGCCATCGATCCATCGGCCCATCGTCCGAATTGCCTACACTGAATACGCTCACTCTCCGCAATGAAGGGCTTCGGCCTTTTCCCTACCTTCGCCGCCCTCCTTCTCCTCCTTACAGCTCTCTCTTCGGCCTGGCCGTGGCCCGAGACCCTCGACAACAAGATCGATGCCTTGCTTGTCCCCCGACAAGAGAACGATAACAATGATGATAATGCCTCTCCGACCGAAGACAATGCCTCGAGTACATCTGCCAGTCAGTCCGCTTCGGGCTCAGGGTCTCGCTCGACCATAACATCGTCAGCATCCCTTTCGGCATCGGGATCCGGATCAGGAGGCTCAGCATCTGGAAATGCTACCAGGACAACTAGCACCAAGACCACTCCAATCGACCCTCGGTTACCTCCCGGCGGTGTTGCACTCATCACTCCTGCTTTGATTGATGGACCTCAGTACTACAAGGTCGGAGATTTTGTCACGTTCGCCTGGAACTACACCTCCTTGTCCGTAACACCAACCGCCATCGATGTGTTGGCTTCCTGTGCCCAAAATGCACAAACATACACCCTCACTTCCAATATGTCTGTCGAAGAAACAGGCGCCTTCACCTGGGATACGGGTGAGATGTACGCAACCGCCACCAATCCCTTTCCTGTCGCCAGTTATACTTTGATCATCCATGACTCGTCGCAAGACATCACAGACGTGCCGTCTGCTGGCTTTTTGGCTGCCTACCAGCAGTATATCTTTGGCATGTACACACCGTAAGTGGCTCGCCCTTCCTAGAAGCGGTTCGGTATTGCTTACCAGATACAGCCAAGCCTACACTCCGTTGAACGAGTTCAAATGCGCAACCTGCAGTGGCGCTCTCTCGGTACATGAGAAGCAAGCCCTGAGTGTAATCCTGACGGCATCAGCTATCACAGTCATGTCATTTGCATGGTTTGCTAACGGCTTCGGGGTGTTTTCATGATCATTATCCGACCCGATCGATTGTCATGCATATATATATTTAGTGTATAATGACTACCAATCGCTATGACAAATTCTTGACGATATCAGGTATACAAAAGCATAGCGGACGGCTCAGGAGTTCACAGGTTCTAATTGGTGTTGAATGGGAAGACTATTGAGGAATTATCGCCAGCCGACATGACGGGGACACGGAAGGCGGCATCCGGGGGTGTCCATCATTTGGAAAATGCAAAGCGAACAACACGAGTGTCCATACTGATGAGATGACTTCTCGAATCGGGAAAGTATGGTTGGTTACGAATCTCACTATTGTCGAAGGAACCAGAGCTCCATCCGCGGCATTCAATGGGTCGTTTTCCAGTTGAAATCTAATGATGAAATATGGGCCAGAAATCTCCCCGTACCGGATCCGCTTCCACTCATGCCTCTGTCTCCATGTGGCTCGTCCTCCAGCAATTTGTCAATTGGAAGCATTCCCGGGAAATCGACATCAAGCAGTGCCTTCGGGAGGATGCTCTTTCACATCCGCCGTTGCTTGATGCTCAAGAGAACAGGAAGAATTGCGATTTGAAATCATGAAGATGACTCTTTCATTGGTTGCGGTACCTCTTCCTCCTGTCCTTGTCGAGTGCTCCAGGACAGATATCTGCCTGTTGTCCGTTGCGAACAGAATATCCACCCATTTCCCCGTTGCATATGGACGAGCGTGCAAACATCAACTGTGTCGGAGCGAGCAGAATGGGATGTGATTTGAGATCTTCAAGTACAAAAAGACCGATCTTGTGCTCCTTTTGTGCTCCCGCCTCGCTTCTGAACATTATCAACCACCACACCAGTCGTCCCAATTCCTGCCTCTTCTCCACGACTCCGGAACGCGAAGCGAGCACCACCGATCTGTGAGCTCGCCCACTCTTGCCTGTGACCGCAACAACCCCAAGCGCCTTGTTCCCGACTGTGTCTCCTGGCGTCACATCACCGAGGAGCCACTCACCTCGTTGACTCCTTTTCAACCAGCACATCTGGTCTGAGGCAACGCAAGCTCGAATTTCTTGTGGTCCAGGTACGCAGTGAAACGACCTTGCAGAGCACCCGGGCTTCAATTCACCTCCAGGAATCGTCTTCACTCACTCACTCACTTACCTCCAGGACCACCGACCACCGAACCCGCACCCAATCATCTTCCAATCGTCAAATCGTCAAATCGTCAAATCGTCAAATCGTCAAATCGTCAAATCGTCAAATCGTCAAATCGTCAAATCGTCAAATCGTCAAATCGTC